TTTGAGTGAATAAACGATTCTTCTCTAACTTCAGACTCCATCTGAAGTGTCTGTTTGCATACTCTGTACATACAAATAGCCACTTAAGTAGTATCCACTTTTCTCTTTCCGTTTCAGTGCGCTTATAGATTAAATTATGTTTTCGCTTGGTAACAAATCATGCTTTTTTAATTTTTATACCAGAAGAAGGAATATCTTTTGATTTATAAAAAAGTTAATAGTTCCGGAATAATTGTGAACACCACCGGCGGTTACATTTAAATTCAAGCTTTCCAAACTGCATGCTAAGTACCTTGCGGCTAGGGAAATGTACACATTTTCCAACGGTATGTGTAAAGGGTCACATAGTTTTCATAAAATTTCGCAATTTCGTGTTGCTTACTTTACAAGAAACATTACTGGGTTGATGAATCCTACATATTACGGATTAACACTTCACGATAGTAAAGAATCTCATAATTTAAAGAAAGGCGTAGAAAGCAGGATTTTTTGAAATAAAACAGATTTCGCGATGGCTTTTCAAGTGCATCCCTCTGTTGCATGACTCAGAAGGATACAGCAAACTGAATTCCCCAGAATGCCAATGTATATCACCAAGGGTATTAGTTCAGTCTAAAGAATGACATACTGAAGGTAAATAAATTAAATCAACCTGTATGGAGAAATGGGGGAGAGGAAGTTGGCGCAAAACAAGACTTGATTAAAACTAGCTGCCCAGTTGCCAAGGTAATTGGAATTTGACCACATGGTTTAGCCGATTTTTTTGGTGTCAAGATCAATCCGGCCCTGTTCTAGCAAACAATGAATGCAATGCTCGCTGGTATTCCTGGCACGACTGGGTATCTGGACGACATCATCCTCATGGATCGCTCACCGGCTGAGCTCCAAGACCGAGTGTACGCAGTACTTGAACGAATTGGGGAATATCACTTCCGATTGCGAGCCGATAGGTGGAAATTTTCCCCGAGTCCATCACATACCTCGGATTCACCTTTGACGCCACTGGTCGCCATCCAGACCCCGAAAAGATTCGTGTGATCGAACGGATGCCTGCGCCCAAAGTTTTATCACAACTTCGTTTGTTCCTTGGCGTGATCAGCTACTAAAGCGCCCTCCTACCGTCGCTGCCTGACTTACGAGCCCCGCTCAACCTTTTGCTGCAGAAGGCTGCTCTCTGGTGCTGGTTCTCCAACTTTAAAATGCCTTTGACGAGCAGAAGTCGATGCTGAGTTCCAATCTGCTGCTCACACACTATTGCCAGAAACTGCCGATAGTTGTTGCTGCAGACGGCTCCAAGCATGACATAGGTAGCGTTATTTCGTATACCTATCCAAAAAGGTCGGAAAAGGCGATTTTGCACGCATCACGAACGTTAATCCCTGCTGAGAAAAACTATGGTCAAATCGAGAAAGAAGCATTGGCTATCGACTTTGCCGTCAAGAAATCCCCCAAACTACTGTACAGTCCTTATTTCCCGCCATTGACCGACCAGAAAAAGTTACCACCAATCTTCGGTTCGAAGAAGGGCATTCCAGTCAATTCAGCCAGCCCACTTCAACGATCGACAATTATTCTTTTCGGTTACGAATTTTATATCCGCTACTGTCGAACTACCGACTTTGGCCAGGCTGACGCTCTTTCTCGCCTCATCTGGACTCATCAGAAACGTGAGGAAGACACTGTGCTTGCTGCCATAACAATTGAGGATGGAGTGCGCCGTCAGCTTTCGGACGTCATTCGAGGCATTCCTGTTACTGCCGCCGACGGCTGACTTGCTACCGCACGGTATCCCATGCTTCGACAAGCTATCTCCTATGTGTAGACCAGTTTTACTAACCACTGCTCTAACTGGCGATCTTTACCAGCTCTTCGTGAGTCGAGGATCGCTGTCTATAGTTGATTCCTGGTTGATGTTTGCCAATCGTGTGGTCATTCATCACCTATTGTGCTATGCCAGTTACATGCTGTTCATTCTAGTACCAGTCGAATGAAGTTTATTGCCCCCAGTTTTGCCTGCTGGCCGACTATTTACGGCGACATCGACGATCTCGTTCGGCACTGTTCCCGTTGCCAAAAAGCTGCCAAAATGCCCGCTGCTTAACCGCCAGTACCACAGCAAACTCCGGATAGGCCTTGGTTCCATGTGCACTCCGATTACGCTTGTCTCCTCTGCCGTCCAATTAGCTAGTCGTTGTCGACGTTTACTTAAAGTGACCTGAGATTGCAAGGCTGCACCTCTGCCACCGTCATATTCCTGCGGCGCATATTCAGCCAATATGGCCTACCGGATGTTCCGGTATCTGATAATGGCTCTCAATATACCCCATTGGCCCATAAGGATTCTTGCCACCAAAAACACATCCAAT